TTTAATTTAAAAAGAATTTAAATTATCACTTTTCAAATGATTGAATTACTTAAACATTTCGATTATTTAAAAAAATTTTTTTTCGAATTTTCGTCTACAAGAGTCAAAACTGTTATCAAGCGAACGTTGACTAATTGTGGCGTGCAAAACGAATTACTCGTGCGCGAAAGTAAGGATCTCCCCTACAATGGTGAAAGCGAGCATCCATCCGTTCAAAGAGATCGAATTGGAAATAATTATCTATCGTGCACCTCGCCGTCGGAACACGATGCGATAACACAATGCTCGATTACGATCTCCGCGCGCGCACGACCTCGCGAGTACGAAGCGCCGCGCCGCGTGCGTCAGTCGTATCGCGAATTTCCATTATCGGGATCTCAATCTGCCCTCGACACACCGACGAAGACGATCTGATCTTTACACCCTGGGAGCACTCTTAGCCCCGCCGCGCGCGCTCGATTTCACCCTCGATAAATTCATTCCTCGACTCGCGCGCTCGGAGAACCAAAGAAATTCGAGCTCGAGGGGATGAGAGGAGAGGGAGAAGAAAAACGAGAAGACCAGTTCGAGATATCGCGTCTCTTCAGTCTCGAAGACTTGAGTGGCGACACATTTATCGTACGAGCGCAAAAAAAAGCACAGCTAATTAACTGGTTTAACGCTTTCGCGGGCGTGAACACATAAATGGCCTTTATTCATGAAATAAAAATTGCGTCACGTGGAACCTGCTGTTGTAGTCAGCGAATGGATAATAGATTATTCATGCCTGATTCGAAATTCGAGCAGGTGCTTCCACTTTGCGTGAATGAACAATGAACCGACAGAAACATCGCATTCAAAGTCGCACGCAATATATATAGTTCATTTTATTAAATTATTATTTGTTAATTGTTTTTACAGACAATAAAAACAACGATAATATTTCTTCTAGAGAGAATATTGATATGGCTTGCGTGCTGCACATCATAATTCGCGATTTTTAAATTCTTGCTTTTTCATGTTTGCACGTCTCTTTAGTAACAGTAATAAAGCCGCAGTTGCCAATTGTGATGTCAAAATTTCCGCACTATTCCTGGACAACTCAAAGAAACTGTCCTTTCCCAAAAGAAGAGCTCGTTCACAGAGAGAGAGACACATAATCATCTTCATAATCATCTTGCATTGCGGTTTACATGTCAGATTCGAAAAACATAAATCATAACACAATTACATAAAAAAAATTTAAAAATCGTTAAAGAAATAATCATTCACAAACATCGCGGTAAAGTTTATTGTCCAATTTCTACAACTTTGTTTCGTATCGCCAATAAGTGCGGAAATATCGGTTTGTATAAAAGTACTGGAGTCTTGAATCATCAGAAATAGAACTAATTAGTCGTACAGATAACATTGATAATCTTTAATCTCTATTTAAAAAAAAATTGGCATTATTGACACTATACTTATCATGGTCGTATTCGAGAGATAATGCTAAATAAACAGAGCGACACGCATCGTTAATTTCTCATTTCAGTCTTCTATCATACGAATGATAACACAATCCGTTGCCACAATCCGACAATGTGTTTGCCAAATAAACACATAAACACATAACCATATGTCAGCCGGTTTCTCTAATACAAAATATTTAATGTAATTGCGTTAGTTATATGCCAAATATTTTATTTCTTATATATAAGATTGATTTCGATAAATGTTACCGATTATTATCACATTTCAATTTCGTTTTCCAGACTCTTTAAATTTATGGTTAGGACGATGTATTCTTAATTCAATACTTAATTCAAAACCTAATAAAAACATTATTAATATGAATAAAAATCCTTTTCGTTATGAAAAGAATGTATTTTAATAAAAAAAAAGTTGACACATAATATCTAAAAATGAATAAAGATTTATCAATTTATTTCTGGAATAAAAGTATCGATTAAAGCAGTTTATTTCGAATCATCAAGGTCGTTTTAAAATTTTCTAGAAGTCACGGCAAAATCTCTCTCTTTTTTTCTCTTCCCTTCTCTCGCCTCTTGCCACCCCCCCCTCGACATACTTCTAAGAACGTAAAACGATAGTCGCGACACGGATTCGGAAATAGAACTTCGCGTGTCCCTTAAAAACCCATATCGATCCCCCTTTCATGGCTTGGCGCACAACGCGACCCGGCGATTTCGAGCCCGGCGGGCTCGCGCGTTCGAGACATTCGTCTCGTTCGCTAAATTATTCCACCCACTCGCGCGCACCATGTGGAAACTCGAACCCACCTACCTCTCCGCGAGAACATCACCCTCGATTGAAGGAACAATGAGATATGCAGGGGGTGTCTCGCAATACCGCGCACTCCGCACTCCGCATATACCGAGAGAACAAACGGAGAAAGCGCAAACTCGAGATGAGATGTGAGGCATCGATGGTCTCTAAAAGATAGTAAATTAAGGGTTTACGATGATGTATAAATTACTAGAAAATTAACGGGTGTTGCTTAAGCGAAGATTAGCGAAGAAATTTTTGATTAATAATTCCCTCGTCGATTTGTTAGAAAAAAGATTACTTGGGCACAAGCCGCGGCCAAATATACCGTATAGATTGCTTAATTATTTAATAATGAATCGTTGAATAATAACCATCTAACATCTGCTTATTATCGAGGAGTTATTGTAACTAGTCAACGACATTCTTCTCGGTATTCGAACTTAAAGTGTAAATAGATAATGAAATCTCCTTTCAGATAATTACAAGTATATCTTATTCAGATATTATTTTACTCTTTAGAATTTTGAAATGTAATTTATAATCGGAATGAATGCATAAACAACACACTCGTTGTTAAGATTAATATTAATATGTTTAGATAGGATAGATTGTTTTAAATTTGTAATTTTTATTGATATATTATTGATATAAATTACGTTTCTTTTAGGATTGAGAGATATTAGATTAATATTTTATTCGATATTTGAAAATGGATTAATTCCTATGTTTTTTTAATTGTTTATTGACGATCAAATGCCTAACGAGATATTGTGTATATATTATTATTTTATTTCTTTTATTATATATTTTTAAATTACATTTTTTTCTTTAACTTTTAAATTTATTTCAATATTTAAAAAAATTATAGAAGTTTAATATAAGTTTTTGAGAGAATCTTACAATTTATATATCTTTTCCTAGTAAAATATCTATATTTATTAGTTATATACCTATATTTATTTATTTCATATTTGATTACATAAAGCTCACGTTGAGGCCCAAAGCTTTTATGACTCAATAATTTGAACGGGAATTTTACTAAAAATAGAAAGTTATGGATCGATTCGACGTAAACTTTCTTTGAAAAAATATTAACGTAACAGAACTGTATGTGTGTCTGCGTATGTGAGAGAATAGAGAGAATAGAGAGAAAATACAAGTGGATAAGTCAAAGTTCGCTGGCAGCGGTCAGTCGTGGCATAGGTCGCTCATTGACGACATACGCGTGAATCGACCATCGAGCTTTGACTTTTCCGGCCGTAAGTATACCAGTCACGATGGACACTGTCCAGCGAGTGCAACAATAGCATTCTTCGCTTATACTCGTTTATTTGATGTCTTTAACCTTTAGTTCTCGGCAGTATAACGCGAATTCGCGATTTCGCGCCGCATCAGCGTACATAGTTTCCGTGAGAGTACCGACGGTAAACGGCAAACTATATCCTCCTCGCAACGTAATTATGCAACACCAAACCGTGCGCGTTTACCGACGCGCGTACACCCAATGGACAGGAACGGGAGATAAGAACGGGCTGCGATAAACCGACGAAGATATCGCGCCAAAGAGAATGCGTTTCCCGAAGATAATTGCGTTGCGTTGCGTTGCGTTGCGTTGCGTTGCGTTGTGAGACGATTATACATCTCGTATACCTTTATTTATGCCGACAACCTGTATTATCTCATCATCTTAAACGCGTCACAAAGTGTAAAGTAAAAAATCCTTAAGCTAAAAAAAATTAAGCTGCGCCTTGATATTGACCTTAGTCGACGGATCAATTGAAATTGTGATTTTTTTCTCATCGTGAGGAAAAAATTGCAAAAATTAAATCAAAATATTAAGTATCTCAGATATCGAATGTCTAAATATAAACTTCTATCCAGTTGAAACTTCGGCAAATTTGAATAAAATAAAATTGTAGTCAACATTTTCTAAGTAATTCATAATACATTGATCAGGTATAAAACGTGATGACATTTGAATGAGAGAAAGAGTGTAATTTAGCTAGATTGTACGAAAAAACGTAGATGATAAATTATAAGAAAAACGAGTTATATCCCGCAGATTATTTGAATCGCAAGGAGAAGGTAAAACGCGAACACGCGCGCGCGCGCACACACACGCGTTTTCCTTAAAAGCGGGCCATAAATATCGTCCGACTCCCATGCATACGAAGTCCCGTGGCAGAGCAAGGGAATTCCTTCTCGCTTCTCCCGTCGGAGGAGGGGGGAGCGGGCGGCATACCCCGCGAGATGGTTTTGCATCGCAATAACGTCGGGTCGCGACGTTGCTATTCTTCCTCCTCGGTTTTTTTGCATTATTATTTCAATTTCCGCGCACGTCAGTCGCACGCGCGACGGCGACGTAGCGAACGCGGCCAGCGATGAAAACACCAATCAAAACTCGATAACTCGCGTTCGCCGTTTCCGCCAACGTGGTGTCCCCGGCGTGCACTTAATATCGATCGCGTAGCGGCACGGAGGCGCTATTGTTTGCTGGGCAAATTATTGCACGCGCGCCGATCGGTCGCTCCGCGGGATTCATGGCATTGGCGCGCGATAGCTCGCCCCATTGTGAGCCGGTTTCTTGCCGGTATATCGCCGTACATCTTCTCACAAGAAAATTATCGCGCGCCCGAGTTCTTGACCTTACTTGAACGCCTGCCAATATTATCCGGTAAGTCGCACTTAAATACCACACTAACGTACAAAGGCGAAAGGTGAAAGGCTCCGAAAATTAAGAGAGAGAATAAAGAGATTATAAGCTCGTTTCGTTACAAACTTTAAATAGATTTTTAAATATATTTTAGGGAGTATTTTTTTTTTTTAATGAGAATTACACATAACAGAAAAGAAAAAAAATATTAATTTTTATTAAAAAGTTTTAAAAATACTCGTCAAAAGGAAAGAATAATTTAAACAATAATAAGTTAAACAATAATTCTCAAATAAATTTTATATAATTTGTAAGACAAGAGATAATTAAATTTTTACTTTTAATCTCGGATTCTGTTAAAAGCATAAAACAATTATATGCGATATATTAATAATATTTCTCATATATTTGTTAAGAGAGCATCTTATCCGACACGTTTCAGCATCCATCTTTGCGGAATATCGATTATTAATACTGCGAAACATGATAAACACAAACGACCGTATTTCCGCCAGTGCAACGACGAAAGAGAGCAGGCATTTATACATATAGCGATAAGAAAATTATCTTTCACGAGCGGCAACGCTTGGACTCTCGTGGCCAGTTGCCAACACTATGCAACATAGTAGCCACTCGACCGAAATAACTCCGAATTACTTAGTTTAGAACATACATGCTAAATGTTCAAAAGGTGGAATAATTCCGATATCACGTGCTTGAAGCAAAGAACGATATATTGCGAGAAAACCCACAACACGGCGCGAAATTCGCTTTTTTCATTTCATTGAATTAATATTGCGAACTCTAATACTATTATCATTTCATTCAATTTTTTATAGACTATTGAAATTTACGAAGCTATAGGTTGTACAATTTTAAAATTATTCAATTATATTATTCAATAATATTCAAGTATATTGAGTAAAAAAAGAGAAATACTATCAATATTTTTTAATAATAATTTATTAACATTTATTAGAAAGATATATCTCATATATTTATTTTTTATCTGAAAAAATTTTTAGTTAATCAAAATTATATACTAAAATATTAAATATATCAAAGTTATATATTATATAGTATTTTGGAAATGGCTCTCGAAATAAGCTACAAGAATATGTAATAAAAAATGAGAGTTTCCACTTAAAAATTTCAAAGTGATTTAACACTGTCTGCCGATTAATGCTATGTATATTCTCTTTGTATTTATTTTTGTGAAAAATATATTTGCTTTTATGATGACACGACGAATTCATATTGAAATCATAAAAGATTGAAATCGAATTCAAAACTCTAGTTTCCTCTATTCACCTTACAATTTTCATTTGTAAGGCAAGAGTGTAGTCATAAAAGTAACGTACAAAGCGAAAAGTAGCTCTTTGTATATACTTAAAGCATAGAATTCACAGGAATGCACAAACAAGAAAAAAATGAGCACAAGACATTTTTGACTTTTATCATTTTCATTGAAATTGTAGAATCTATATTAGGATTGTAAAACAGTCACAGAATAAACAATAGAAAAATAAAACAGATGAAATCTGATTATATCATCGAAATTAAACCATCAAAATTACAAAAAAAAATTGTCAATTTTATTTTACAAAATTCCTGTTTCCAACACTTATCTTATTAATGTTACATTCTTCAAATTTCTTATATCATTGATGTAATTATTGATCAAAATTATATCTTTCATATACAAAATCAAGAAGACAAAGAATGTGAGAAACAGCGTTTGACAAAATCAAAAATATTTCTTATTCGCTGAAGAAGAAAAATATACTGGTGAAAGAGTAATAAAGTTATTGGCATAACTGCAATTAGTATCAAACGGAAAATACCCCTGTGGTTAACGGCATTGTTAATTCGATAATGAGTCTGTTGTCAGTGAACAAGAGATATATAGTGACAATTGATTGATAGCCAAACACTACCGCCAAACGCATACGCGTTTAACAATTCCTCATTTAATTCTAATTTGACTCATAATTCATGCGGCTTTCATTTTTTTAACGTTCGCGTCGACCATAAAGATTACAAAACCGGCAATTTTCACTTTCTTGAAAAATTTTCGCTATTCGTTATTTAAAGTCACTTTCACACGATGAATTAAGACTGCTTTGCTAGATATCGCATTAAATAGTAGCGCTAAATGTATTATGCAAATAATATACTATTTTTCTACTATACATTACACAGTTTTGCAGTCATTGTACGATTTCGATACTTTCATTGAAAACATGTTCTTGTTCTTTCATTATTATTCTTAGTTAAAGATTTAAAATTTTTATACAATTGTCGCATACATTTTTAGAGATATATTTCCCAAATTATAAATAAAATTATATATATATATATATATATAATTTGTTAACTTTATTTAT